AGTTCTACCAACAGGTCGTTTGCCCATTTAAAAAAATAAGAAATTATAATGCCTACCCCCAAACATTCTTTGAAGGACATGCTTGCCTTTAAGTTATTTCTGTTGTACTCGGAGAGTTACTTGGACTGTGTATAGTTAACATGACTCATTTAATCCAAAAATAGGATTTGCACACACGTTTTGCAAATCTGCTAACAGCCTACATTAGTTCTGCACTCAGTTGTGTTTGCAGCAATGCCTTCTGGGTGCATATCCCTGCTTTTTGAAATCCATTTTGGTCTTTCCTATTTTCCACTTGTTCGTATCTCATCTTTTTCTGTTCAGCTGATGAGTTCAATCATGGACTTCAGTTTTCATAAGAAAGGAAAGGTCACTGTTTCTAGATTTTTCTGTTATATACCAATTTTTCTTCTGCAATACCTTTGTATGGTAACAGAAAAATTAAATTCAAGAACACCTTCAAAAGTCTGCTCGCTTGGTGTACTAGAAAAATAGGATTTAGTAGTCCAAAAGCTTCTTTGAAAAACTGCAGGTAAGTGAACCTGTGATAAATCAGTTCAGGTACAACAAGTCACGCAAAATATAATTGCTTGGAAGACCAAAACCCAGCTGCATTTATACATATTTTATAATCCTTGAACAAAATACAGGAGCTGCCCCAAAAGGGTGTATTTTGAAACAGATATGCTTTTGATGCCCCTCTGTTGTTTTAGTAGATATAATTGATTCAAACTCAGTAGTCATGAATTGTAGCATATAAAAGAGCATGTGAATCAAAAATGCTTATCTGTTGGTCACTTAAAATGTGTCACCTGGGCTTTTCTGGATGGGGAACATCTTCTCTTCTGATCAATTTGGGGGGCAGTTATGGGGGTTTTACGTTATTGCTTTCTTTTTTTTTTTTTTTAAAAAGCCATTCTTGAAATATTGTATTTGTCACGGCAATTAGAACTGTTTGGTTTTCAGATAAGACCTGCACACTTGGGATCAGACGTGTACAGATCAGGAAAGCAGCAGACTTGTTTGCTGTGCCCTAAAACACGGAGAGCCTTTGGCACACACAGGAAACTTGAGCCCTGATCCATTATTGGAAACCATTAACATAAATACTCCGCCAGGTCATTGACATCTGCATTACCAAATCCCCCTATGGGATTAGATATTCAGCACCTAGATCATGCTATTAGTCTCTCATGTGGTAATGAAATAATCAGCAAAAACACACATGTCTAGGAATTCCTGGGTTAACATAGGACTGGAATAACATTGAAAGAGCACACAGCTCCCTAGTTTGGTACATGCTGTGTAGTGGATTGCTTTAATGTTCTAAGCACAAAGCTTTGACTCACGTTCAGACTGATCCAGAGACTTAAGTGTAGGTAGAGCTGGTCCTGCTCAGCCCTTAATGCTCTTTAAGTAGCTAAATCATGCACAGTAGCTGTATTACAGCAGTTGCCAGAAAACAGCTTCCCTAATTATACGCTCCAACCTTTGTTTACATCTCATCTTGGTATGATTTTCGTATGTTTCTTGATAAGGGCAGTTCAAAGCCACCCACTTAAGTTTTTGGAGTTAAATATACCTGTCCAAAAAGGAAACAAAGGTACGGGAGGCCATAAACTTCTCAAGTTATCTTTGATACCAAAGAATTTGCCTCAGAAGTAATTTTAGTCAAAAAAATCAGAAGTAGAGGTTAATCTCTCCTGGAAGAGGAGAACTTCAGGGGCAGTTTATATATTTTTAATTTCATCTTATAATTTTCAGATCCTTTTGTTTTAACTCATCATCCATCCACAAGACCATCTGTATCATTAGGATGTTATAGGAATTGTAATTTTTCCCAATGTAGGGAGTTAATCATGACTCCTGCAGGCTGTGAGGGTATATATGCTCTATATTATGCAACTGCAACACCCAGACATTGGTCACAGGTGTCCAGGGCATGAATTTCTTGCTCTTCTATCCTAGTACAAATAAAACCAGCCATAAACTAAGCAGTATATATTTCTTGCCTTAAAATCATATTTTGCTACAACTATTTACAGTGTTTGTCCTGTTGTCCTGACATGTCCCAGAATGCTTCTGGCAATTAACTGGAGTGGGCATTTTAGTAACATTAATCTTAACCTAAGCATCCTGATTTTACAACTTAACAATTGAGGAGCAGGAGATAAGCTTTACAGCTGCCTTTATCCTACTAATTCAGGCCAGTGTTATTAATAAGGTAAGTGAGATTTACACTAAGACCCTAGGAGGTAGATTTAAGTTTAGAATCCAGGAAAACTAAATTTTGTTTGCTCTAGATTCAAGGCAGAGAATACTTGATTTTTATAGTTTACTTACCAGTAAGCTTCTTTACAAATAACACCATAAATTTTATACTACAGCTTCAATTACCAAAGGCTTTAGGCACCTGAGTAGAATAATAAATTTCCATGCAGGTAAATACACCCAACATTCCTTTAAAACAAAGAAATTTAATGACTTGCAATAAATAAAAACCCAAGATCCTCCATGGGTAAAACGTGTGTCTCATACATACTGTGAGAAATATAAACAATACAAGGAAAAGGAACAGGCTCTTAATTCTTACCCAGGAGTAAGTATGCAACCATCAGCAGCATCTCACAGCTTTCAGTATTTATGATATTTATATAATACCTTTTCCTCTGCCATTTCAAAGCATTTTCTTTATATTAAGTTTCACAGAAGCCTCATGTAGTAATATTATCCTCATCTAGGTGATGGAAGTGCAGAAGTAACAGTAACAGACACATGAAGAGTGAGTGGCACACGTGGAATACAACCAGCTCCTACCCTGTTGCACCAGCTCTTGTACACACACACACTTCTGGAAGTGTCTATTCAAACATAGGGGCTAGTGATCTTTATTCTGAATTGTTTTCAACATATTCTGCTTCTGAAAACAAATCTATGATCACCAACTATGATCACTGCTGTCAGTGTCCCTTCACACCTGCAATAACACACTCTTAAAATAATAATGATAATAATAATAATAATACAGAAAAATGGCTTCCTATTTGGCAAAATGTGCCAGATAGCTGAGTACATTTTTTATTTATTTTGGTTGTTGTCACATGACACAGTTTGTGACACAATAATTTGGGGTCTTGGTGATCTCTATGGAGATGTCACCACAAGCCCAACACGAAAGTCACGTTATGATCATTTTATCTCTCAGAAAATTCACAGCAAGGTGGAGGTACTCAGTATATTGAAAGTATAGCTTTATGCAGTACTCACTGAAGAATGAGCATGCTCCCACAATCCCCTGTGGCATTTAAAATTTCCTTGGAAACGTCTCCTGAAGTTACTCTGAAGTATTTGCCTAAAATGACCCTGTTCTGTTTGCGAGATCACAGCTCACAAATAAACAAGCTATAGCAGCTTTAGGCATTGATCCTATTACTCCAGTACTTTATAAGAAGGCACTATATAATTGCTCTTGAAATTCTAGGCTAAAGTGTTCTTACTACTGATATAACCTAGAGTGCTGGAAGTAACTATAAAAAACCCTGAAAAAGTATTAGAAAGTACAGAACACAATTTCACTTACAAATATGTTGATGTTTTCTATCACTAGATCCTCTAATTAGCAACTCATGACATCACCTGACTTTAACCATGTTGGCTGACATTTTCTACACTACTTGCCACAGGCAGAATTTGCTGTGACTCAATTTCCCTTTGTAAATAGGAAACCATGAGGCCATTCAACTCACAGAAGTGGTAGGAACTAATAATTAATATCAGTTAGGCACTGAGATATTGTAATGTAGGTAGAAAAGTCCATGCGGGAATGAAAAAATTTTGTTTTCAGAATGTGGTTTGAATCTATGAGAGGCCTGAGGCTGCACACTGAACCAAATGTAGAAAAATCCTTAGGCAGCAAGCACCATCCATTCTGTGCATGACTGACTCTGGAGTCTAGAAAAAAAATTAATATATGATCATGTAATTAGACTGTAGAATAATTAACATACACAGGGGAAGGATAACTTCAAATACAGGTAATCTTAATTCCATTTTTTCCCCAGTAGTTAATATTGCAGCCTTTATTTTCATTCACTGTAGTTTTTCTCGATGTGATATAATGTATAAAGGAAAGCAGAAGTGCAGGACTACTAGCTGATTTTTTGCCCCTTTATTAAATGTTAATATGAAATCTGCAACAAAGAATGCAATTGCTCATTTACTCTTCTACAACAGTTCGACCTTCTTTCAAGCAAGAAAAACTTCTTGGTCCTTTAATCCAAAAAACAAAGTCCAAATCTTTCACCTTATCTGCCAGGCTTCTAACGCTCTTAAGTATATGCTTGAACTTTGAAATTCCTAGCTCTGTGTGCAGAAGTCATGAATTATTTCTAGTTCACCAGGAAGGACACGTCTCTATTGCAAACCCAGTGATGTTAGGTGATTGCCTTACAACACTACTTCACCTTCACTTGGTTTGTAAAGAATTAAAACCTGTAGAGTGCTAGAAGTTAGTTGTGTTGTGAGTGGACTAAAGGATAAACTTTTAGATTTATTATTATATAATAAATCTTTTAAAATCTATATATAAAAGTAAACTTTTATATTTATTTTTATTAGATTTATTATTAGTTATAATAAATATAATTTATATAAACTCCCTTCTGAAAGTTCTATTCAAGTTCAAAACTTTATTAATGATACAAGAGTACAATTCAAGCTTTCTGTAAATACCACTTAGACCTTGATTTTCCTAGGATATACTGCAACAGATAGATCATACCTCTGAGAAAGTGGTCGTGAATATGCCTTTGCAGAGAAAAAAACAAGCACGCACAGTCTGTACCTATATTAGTATCAATAATTAGTACATTTTCCTTATCTTCTAGCAGGCTTTTGTTTGCGGAAATTGCATTGTGAAATACCCCAGAGCAACAAGCAAATATCCAAGGGGTGTTTCACAGGGCAATTGTCATTAACTCTCATTTTACACCTCGTTCTAGGGTAATTTTCTGCTGCCTCGCATTTCCAAGAGCTCGGATCCTGCTGCTTAAGCCCGTGCAAAAGCGACGTCAACACTTGTCTTCAGAGGCTGCTGGGACAAAGTAGGTGATACCGCATAGTGTAAGAGCTGATACTACATCGTGTAAATTCAACAAACAGCCCTGACAATAAATGTTCAAAAATACCCCAAGTATTGTCATAGTATCACAAGAATATGTACATTTATCCTGGGGTAGTGCTGCAGGATACTCAGTTCTACCTGCTCAGAAGTGAAATGCAGAGCACGGAAAAAGGTTTTTGTTCACATGCATTATTATTATTACAGACAAAGGTAACTCATTCATTTTAAAAATTCCTTTTTTTTTTTTTTGTCCACCTCTGATGTCTTTAAATATAGAGGTTGGTGATTACAGCTGCTCTCACGTTCCTGGTCACCTTTTTCTCTTCTTACAGGACTGGCAATATGACTCCACCGAAGCTGTAATTTCAGCTTGCACTCCTGCCTAGCTCAGCTCAGAAAGAGAACAATTTGCGGTTTACTTTTCATTAAAGACATCAACACATCTCTCAGAAGTCAACAGCAAGTCTATCACTGAATTCAGTTATGCAAGATCGGGTTCTAAAATGGAAAATTCAGCACATATACACCGGTAACTGAGAGAAGAATCAGACCACTCAGGCAGAAAACTTGGAGGTTCTTATTTCTGTTCCTCTATAGTCAGAAGTGAAACACTATGGTAATTCATAGCTCTGGCTGAGAAAGCATTTTTTCAGTAGCCTCAAAAATTTTGAAAATGTCCTCTAATAAAAGGTGAAATTTAAAACCTAGGATGTTCTCCTACCAAAAGAGCAAGAAATAGTCTAGACGATTTTCAAGGGATTTGCTTTCAAACAAGTGAAAACTTTGATAACCACAAAGATTACTTTTTAAAAATCCAGTTCCTTGCTCAATAAATTCAGAAAAATATTTTTCACTCAGACTTAAACTTTAAACAGTGGAATCCAAGGTATACAACTCATCCACAAAGTTAAATGGTTGCCACACTGTTCTTTTGATACTGCATTACAGTTTGAGCTGAGAAAACAAATCAGATTAACTTCTTTGTCTAATTCCATGTTTTTCACATTACAAATTGTATATGGCTGGGTAACTCTTTTCTTGAAAGTCAGTCATTTCACAGCACTGGTTTCAACTATTTATTCTGAGTAGTTTTTAATATTGGAGCTATTTTGGTCCTGACTGTACACAAAGGTTACCTAGAATGATCCTCCATCTGCTTCTCCTCGATTTTGTATGAGCTTCCTGAAATATAAACTAAAGAATTGCTGTAACATTTCAAAAAGTGAAACCATTCTTTAAGGATTAAGGTCAGGAAAGTATATGTGCATGGGATATAAATGTTTGTGTTCTTAGTGTCTTGATCCTCATCATTTGCCTCATTTGCTTCATCAGATCTTTACATTTGTGTTCTGCTGCAGACCTTAATATCAAATTAAGTAAGACTACAGGATTCTCAAGCATAGAGATAATCACTGGGAAAATACAATTGATGAGAAGTCTCATAAAAAAATGAGATAAATATTGATGAGAAAAGAATTGTGGTATCTGCCAACCTGTTGTTATGCTGTAAAACCACCATTTTGTAATGCCAAGCCAAATATTCAGCCACTTTTTTTCCTCTGGATGTAATGCAAGCTCTATGCTTCACTCAAACCTCCTTGAAGATTCTGGCTAAGTGCACAAATATGAACAATGTTTTAAATCTGGGGTTGTAACAAGATCTGAACCCAAGATAGTTTCATATAGTTTAGGAATTCCTAAGGAAAGAATGGAACAGAACTTAATAGGATTCAATTTTTATCTAGAGTATGAAAGCAAAACTTGCACAGTTTCACTTACAGTGAAACACTTTCTCATCGTGGACTGCTATGGAAAAATACCTGACCAAAAAAAGGACTAAGACTGTTCTCAGCATCATTTAGAATTACAAATGTTTATTGTCATTATTTATTATAATGAAATTGCTGAAAGAAACCTAATGTGGTATGGCCACAGTCTGTGTTAGGACCACAGTCCATGATAGTCCCTGGTGCTGTTGTCCCAGATACATAGTAAGTAATGCATCTCATTGAACACACTCCATTTTTCTGGTGGAACTTACAGTTCTAAATGTGACAGCAAATGAACATTAGACAAGTATTTAGTACTTAGAAAGAAACGTGTAATTCATGCAATAAAATGTCAGATTATTACTTCTTCATGTCAATAGGACTTTATTTAGCAAAGGTTTATTCCTGTTCTCAGCCATATGACTGGATTTGAAATTAAGGTCTTTGTTTAATTTCTTTAAAACATCATTCCTGTTTGTACATCTTCTGAAATTCCTTTTTTGAATGTAATTGCTTCAAAATCTCAAAGGATATTAATAGCTGCCTGAACTGATACATTTTAATACTAAGTACTGTGATTTAAAGTACTAAAGAAAAAAATGAACAAAGCGAACTTCACACAATTCTAATCATGTTCTGGCAGCTGATTCTTTTATTTTCTATCAGCACCACTTTTTTTAGTGTCTGAGATGCAGCTGTAGGTTTACAGTTCCGTAAGGCCACACTGCCCCTGTTCCCAGGGATGACGTGAAAACCTAAACAAGCCATTCCTCTATTAGAATCCATCATTTCCTCACTTTTACTAAGGGTGAGGACACTTTCTGTTGACCAATAGTATTGGAAAATGAATTGCTTTTTCCTGGTCAACTCTCATAATTTTTTAGAGTACTATTCTCACTGGGGAAGTTGTCACTGAGCTTGTACCTATATCTGCAGACAGCTCTGTTCAATAAGAATTTAAGCAATACATTTTTCTGTGTCTGATGTTAGGGCAAAGGACACTTCTGTTATGCAGATACCCCAAAATGGCAGTGGAAGGCTCTTTCCTCATTCACTAAGAAGTCCAATTATCTATCTTCTTCACAGGTAGATGGTGGAAATTACAGTCTTTAACTTTGAGAATGCCTGTAATGTGTTTCAGAATCCGATGAGGACAATTTCTTATTACAGAGAAATCAAGAAATTGCATTCTCTTCACACTTCCCCTCCTACCCCCCATTTTCTTGCTGGATGAACGACTGTCAGACAGGCAGGAATGAACCTCCTCCATTTAATGTATGTGCTTATTGTCCCCAGCTGCAACATAGAGCCCAGTTCCTGTTCTATTTGATGACACCCATGACATGATTTAAATGGACACACCACCATAATCTTCAGAGAATTAATCTTGATAGAGGCAAAGATATATCATCAATGCTGCTTTAAGAGCAGTATGATCCAACTAATCTTTTCCATTCTCTAACTACTGAAACTTCTAGATTGTGAGGTTTAACAGTAGTCCACATTACATCCTCCCCTCAGTGCCTTGTAGTTGGTAAGCACAAAACTCTGGGGGTTTTAGGTCTTACAGAGAGTCCTGATCTTTCTGGATTTTTCTTTGCCCTCCTTTTACTGTTCCTCATAAAATACTGTTTGTCATTCTCATATATATGTGTGTGTGTGTATAACATACGAGTGAAATTACTTTAACAGCTCTGTTCTTCAAAATTCCTACTGAAGAGTTCTGGCATCAGTAACATTTTACCACTCAGTAAGTAACTGCAAATTGGTTCCACCTTTTCTACCATGAAGACCTTGTGGTGTCTGAATGATGAGAAGAAAAGGCATTTCTGTTTTTTCTGCCTTAACCTAATTTCCTTAAAGAGCAGTTCCAATTTTTTTGTCTTTTAGAGATCATGTTATGCTCACTGAGGAACATAACTATGCCAAAAAAGGAGCTGTATGTAGAGCAGCTCAAGAGAAAGTGGAGAGGTAGCAATAGATTGAACACTCCTTGGTCACAGATTAGAGTAGCCTCAATTACCTCTAATTATGTGTAGCTGCTATGGCTTGAATGAGACATTTCAGCAACCAAGGGTCAGCACTGGAGTACTTCACCTGCTGCCCTTTCTGTGAGACAAATACTCTTTTTCAGATTCCAGAAAAAAGACCTGCCATAAAATATTTCATCATATGTCCAGGACCTATGATTTTAGGCAAAGAGTTTGTGCAACAGCCGAGTCACAAGTTCTACTCTTTCCTTTAATATCTTTTTTTTTTCTTTATCATTTCTTCTTTTTCAATCTACAGCTACTTTCAATCCTGTCACTGTCTCTTCACTTGTCATCTAAGTTCTTTTCCATGGCATTGCATTTTTATGCTTCTTGCTCGTTCACAAACATATTCCATACAGCTACTAAGAGAGCTGTCTCTTCTAGCTCCATCGTGACAATACGCTCACTTCCATTTTCCTTGAGTGATGCTTTTCTTCTACGTGGTCATTTCCTGATCTACTCTGCCTTCCTGCATCCTGACTGTGCTTTCAGACTACAAATGCATTTTCCTTGTAGTACTCTTTCTTTTCATGTTATATTTCCATGTTGTTCATATTTTGCCACGCTTGGGGAGGTGACTCAGTGATTCACATCACATGCCTGTTGTCCAGCAGTCCTTCTCATTAACCCACACCAGGAACTGTGCTATGAAGCCTGGGCTAATTAACAAAGTTTTGCAAGATGTGCCTGTGTGGGCTGAGTGGAGCTGCTCCACTGAGTTGCACTGGTGAAACTTTCCAGAGTCACCCTCACCTCCTCCACACAAAACTCAGGCACAAAACTGCTCTGAGGTCAGTGAGATCCTTCATTAGCCACACAGGGATGCACTAAGACATTGCTGGTTTTCCTTTGATTATGTCTACCGTGGACGTTTTGCCCAGGCCAGCTGTCAAGAAGTTAGCTCAAGCATAGAAACAGTCCAGCTGTGACAGGTTGGAGTCACATTTAGACTGATTTCCCACTTGCTGTTCACAGCTACACAGGGTGTTTGCAGCCAGCAGTGTAAACACACCATTTTCCTTCCCAGGACTGGTTATCAAGACAGTCATGCAAACAGAGTTCTGAATCCTGAGCAGGTACAACCACCCAGGTTATACACCCACCTCCCTTTTACATAAATCCATTATTCCATCAAATTTCACTGAGATGCTGTAGCCAGTCTTACTGGATGAGTTAGAAATGTGAATTAACAACACTTGCATAAGCAGAGGCTTTGGAAAGGGAAAGAACTCAGAGACAAATTCAGTTTTGCAAAAATGGTGATATATTACATGTAATTAGCCCGTAATGATGATAACACTTCTGAAAACCTGCAGTAGCTTATGAAATAATCTAAATTTAGTGCAATTAGTTTACTAGTACTTACATGGTTGATTTGGGGATTATGGTTACAAAAGTCTGATTTCCCAATATGAATAACATTTTGTATGTAAGAGAAAAATATATTTTTAAAAGCAATCTTTCTTCCTTTTAACATGGTAACAATAATAAAGTTTTATTTTTTCTGTATGATTTATTTGCACTAAAAGATTACCTTAAATAGGATCCAGTTTTAACTTTATCTAAATACCGTAAATAGCATGACAGCATGACAGCATGACAGTAAATGAAAATGAAACCAAGTGCAGGGGGAAAAGGGCAAATTAGTAAGTAGTTCAGTGATTTTGAATGTTATTCTGAGTGGAAAAAAAAAAAAAAGCAATAAACAATTGACATTCCATGTTTCTGATCATATTCATTTGTAGTTCATGAGTTGTTGTATCTTGAGTAACCAGTGATCCTTTT